CTGTTAATACAGTAAGGGCAGTTAGGAGCTCACTCTAGCAATTTTAAATTTGTCTCTCTTTTCTGATTGTCCAAACCACAGGGTGGTGCTATATATTTGGAGAACTGTATAGTTCTGTATATTGAGGAGGAAGATAGGATTCACTGGAGAGGGAGAAGAGTTATATGAACTTTTATAGGCTAATGTGAATCCTTTATATGTTGGTTTGCCCCAACATAAAGTCTAAAACAGATGCTTCTTCTTTTAATTTTTAACCTTGTTAAAGTGTCCCTGGTTATACAGTCTCCCCTTGTACTAACTACTTTATAGAGCCATAGGATTTACATTTTCTCTGCAGTGAAATAAAGATTGGCTTCTATCTCAGATTGTTACCTGGGTGTGTGCACAGGGGTGGAGGGCCTTTTTACCAATATCTGTAGAGACCTGACATCACTTCTATTCTGAGGTTTGTAGGTGAAGCTGTAGGTACAAGCATGAGTCATAGCTTTGTGGTACCCTCCCCTCACTCCCCCAGCCATCAAACCTTGTCCTGTAATCCCAGAGTTTGGAATGCCAGGCCACAGGATACACAGAAGTTATGAGTCCCTTTTTTTTTGTTCCTGTTATGAACTTGACAAGCACATTTTTTGTATATAAAGAACAGAAAAAGAAAACTATATGAAAACTGTATATTATATACAACACGGTTTGCTTTTAAAGTAAAGATAAATTTAACACAAAAGAACCAACACTTTGCTTATCTCTGTTCCTTTCTGAATTTCCTTCTGTTCTTTTCTATTCATTTTTAAAGTGTGCCTTTGATATCACTAATCCCCTTTAATCTTCCCCTTCTCCTCTTCCTTCCTCTTCCCTATCAAAAAGCACTCCCTTTTAACAGATAAGCCATACGTTGGCCATGTCTGAAGTTATAGGTATCATTCTGCACCTCTAGTTGTTACTTCTCTGCCTAGAGTAAGAAGCAAGTTCTGTCCTCAGTCTTCTGGAGTCATAATTGGTCATTGCACTGAGGTATTTGGGTGGGGCAGTGGGTGGAATATTAGATTTAGGGTCAGGAAGAACTGAATTGGAATCTGGCCTCAGATACTCATTAGCTGTGTGACCCTGGGCAAGTCACTGAAACTCTCAGCCTGTTTCCTCATCTGTAATATGGGAGTAATGTTAGTACCTCCATCACAGGATTGTTGTGAGGATCAAATGAGGTAATGTGTAAAGTGCTCTGCAAACCTCAAAAGAGCTATATAAATGCTATCCTTTTTGAGGCAGCTGGGTGGCACAGAGATTGTGTTAGACTTCAATTCCCAGAAAACCTAAGCATGAAGTACTGTATTTAACTATGTAACCTTGAGAAAGTCACTTAACCTCTCTCAGCCTCAGTTTCTTTATCTGTAGAATGGGGATAATAATCAGCAGCCACCTCATGTGATTGTTGTGAACATCAGATAACATGTAAAGTGATTTGCAAACCTTGAAGTACATTGTAAATGCTGGCTGTCATTATTGGCAATAATCATAATTAGAGGTCTTATGATGTCATTCTGTGTATGGTCTTTTCTCTGTTCATTTCACATACTGTACTAGTTCATACAAGTCTTCCCAGGTTTCTGTGAATTCATCCCTTTTCTCATTTCTTACATGACAATAATATGCCATTATGTAACATTATTTAAGCTTTTCCCAGTTGATTTGTATCTACTTTGTTTCTGATTCTTTGCTACAACAAAAAATGATGCTACAAATATTTTTGCACATATGGCTTATTCTCCTTGGAGTCTATGCCTAGTAGAGGTTTCACTTGGGCACAGTATGCTCTGATTAATAACTTTGTGGTTATAGTTCCAAATTACTTTCTAAAATAGTTGGATTATTTCATAGCTCCACTGGCAGTACATTAGTGTGCCTTTCCTCCCACAGTCCTGACAGGGATTGTCATTTTTCATTTTTGTCACCTTTATCAATCTGATGGGTATGAAGTGAACTCAGATTTGTTTTAATTAGTTTTTTTTTTCCTTAGTAGTGATTTGGAACATTTTTCTTATGGTTGTTGATAGCTTTTATTTCTTCTTTTGAGAACTTACTATCTGTATCCTTTGATCATTTATCTATTGGAGAGTATTATTCTGATTTTAGATAAAGAAACTAAGGGCCAAGGAGTTGACTTATTTGTAGCTTATAAGTGGCAGAACCAGGATTTGAATTCAGGTCTTTATAATCCAAGTCCAGACCTCTTATCATTATACCACCTTGTTTCTGTTAAGTAGGCCAACACCTTTGACTCATGATTGAACTGAATGAGTGAAGAATTTATTAAGTGTTTATAAGGCTCTATGCTAAGTATACTTGGGATACTAATAGAAAAGTGTGAGAATTTGCTCCCAAGGAGCTCAAAATCTCATGGGAAAAGCAACATACCTGGAAGGTTCCAGATGCAAATCAGATGGAACAGAGTTTGAACTCCTTGGGTATATAGCCTTTGAGGCATAATGCTCAACACAGCCAGCTGTTGAGGAGTGTGAGAAGTGAGGGGACGGAAGATCTGGAAGCAGGTAATTACTGCCCTTGAGGGCATCTGGTAGAGGAGATAAGGCCCATATATGAATAATAATGAAAGGTAGAATTGTATAATGTAGTTTGTTTGTTGACACTGTATATAATCCATATTTTAATTACCACCAGTCTCCCTTTGATATTCTATGACTGAGAATCTGAGATCTGTGATCTTAGAGCCAGGATCTAAAAGTAATCAAAATGGAAGAGTAGTGGGAAGTCTCTTTGTGGGTGGGCATAAGCAGAAGGCAGCACATTACCAACAATAGCTTGAGTCTAAGAAACGGCTTAAAAACATCCTTGAAGACATGTCCAACCACAAAAAGAGTGGTTGCCAGAATGAGGCATGCACAGCTTGAGTGCTGGCCTGATATTCGTGAAATACATATAGACACAGAGGAAGGTGTTTAAGTGGGTCCTTTCTGTAGAATTTACAGAAAGAAACAAACAAGAATCACAGTATGAGGAGGTATATATGAAAATAAAAGGGCTGACGTTGATATAGTACTGCAGGATTTGCAAAGTACTGTGTATAATATTTCATTCTTGGAACGTTCCTGGGAACATTGAGATTGTTACTACCAACACCATTTTACAGTTGAGAAAACTGAAACTCAGAGTTAAAGTCACTCATCTAGTGTCTAATATAGAATTTGAACCCGCATCTCTCCTGATACTCACAGTCCAGCACTCCTTTCTCTACATTGTACCATGGGGTTGTAATTGATGGAGTACTCATACAGATGAGGTCACAGATCCGTAATGGTAAAATCAATAATCAATGAGGCATTTATTAAAAACCTGCATTGTGTCAGGTGCTGGGATTACAGAAACAAGAGATAAATAGCCCTGGCCTTCAAGTGTTGGGAGGCAACATGTACACTTCTTAGTATACACCAACTATACATAAGATACAATGTAATTTGGGAGGGAGGGCAGTAAGCAGGTGGATTAAGGGACTGTTCACTAAAAGGTGGTGCTTAAGCTGAGTTTTAAAGGAAATGAAGTATTTTCAGAGTCAGAAGTATGGAGAAAGTACATTCCAGCCCTTAAGGACAGCAGGTGCAAAGGTGTGGTGAAGGGAGGTGAAGTGGGTGCCCTGTAGGAGGGAGTCAGGAGGTGAATGTGATGAGACTAGTGTATAATGAGGCTGGAAATGTTGGGTGAAGTGATCCTATAAATAAATGCTGTAGGAATTTTGACCCCTACACATAGTAGGGAGTCACTGGCATTTATTGAATTAGAGGAGTGGCCTGATCAAACATGCACTGAGATGTGTTGTGGAGGCAGAAATAGCAAGACTTGGGAAATGATTGAATATGTGGGATGAGGGAGAATAAGAATTCAAGGATGACATTGAGATTGTGTTATCTGCATGACTAGAAAGAATAAAGACGTTTTAAAGAAGGATGGGTATTGGGGAAAAGCAAATGCATTTTATTTTGGACATGTTGGGTTTGAGGTAGTCACTAGGTATGACTGGGGCTCAGAAGAGACTTGACCTGGACATATAGTTAGGAGTCTCTTGGAATCCCTATCTCTCTTCAAGGCCACCTACAAGAGAGCTAGGTGTTAGTGTTCCGTACCTCTAAATTACTTTCTATATATTTTGCATCATCTGTGGACACTTGCTACCCCCACTAGAAGTAAGTTCCTTGAGGACAGAGGCTGTCTTTTTTTTTTTTGTATCCCTAGCACTTGGTGCTGTGTCTGACTCAGAACATGTGCTTAAATCAATGCTGGTTGAATTGAATTCCTTATGAAAGGTGCTAACAAACAAAGAATGGGTAATTTGAGTAAGCAGAACAGAGCAGAGCAGAACCTATTCTCTGTGAAGACACAAACAGTCCTTATTAATTAAATTTACTTGGTCTTTTATTCTCATTTGCTTTCCTTAAAGAGACAGGTACATTTTTCTTAGTCCATGTCATTATCCTGGCTCATTTGCCTTCTGTTATGGAGGATTGGTTGAAGCTATAAGTAGATGAGTTCTATGAGGGTGTCAGCAAAGCAGAAAGCAAAGGACTGCTCTTTTGGGAAGACCTACAGAAAGAGGATTGGTGAAAGAATATGGCAGGAAGGCAAAAGAAATGCCAGAATGGGTGTTAGGAAAACCCAGTAGAGAGTTTCAAGAATGGATCATAATGGCTTACTGTCTGAAATGTGGCAGAAGATTGAACGGGACAAGGATAGAGAAAAGATTGGATTTTTAAAGAAGAAAGTTATTAGGACCTTCTGGTATACATTTTCAGTAGAGTTGTAGAAATGAAAGTCAAAATCCAAGAGGCTGGGGAGAATAATGTATTTTGAGAAAATGAAAGTGTTAGATGTCACTTCCATATAGAGAAAGTTTGTCAGCAAGAAGAAAGAAGACAAGAGAAAGTGGAAAATGCTCTTATCAGGCAGTCAGCTCTGAATAAATGAGAGTTAACTGCATTTTAACTTGTTTTTTACAGGTAAGGCTACAGACTCAGCCAAAGAGCCAGCTGGGACAAGCTCCCCTCTACTCTGGGACCTTTGACTGTTTCAAAAAGACACTTTTTGGAGAGGTAAGAGTCTTTCCATGACCTCCTTTAGGCAAGCACAGTCTTTTATTATGCGTCACACAGTGGGATGTCTACAGTACTGCATCTTCTCTCCTATTCTTCTTCTTGTGTCTTTATCATTGACCAATCTAGCCATTATTTTGTATGTATAAGCAGATCTTACAAAATAACTCCCTTTTATCAAACCAAGATTAGGGAGGGAGAAAGGCTTTTAGGCTTGCATTTAAATTATTCTTTCATGACCACTCTCTAAAGTTGTTTATCAAGTCTATAGGACAATGAGCTAGTTGTTTTCCCTCCCAACAGGTGTTCCCCCTCACCCCCCTTGCTGTCTACCTTCTCCAACTCTTGATTCTGGCTCTTTCACCCCTGCTGCCCCCAACAGTGATCCCTCCTGTGTTAACAAAGGTGAAAAAAAAAGTTTAAGGAACACTTTACCTGACACATTACTTGGGACAATATGTGCAGCGTTCCATATCCATAGTTCTTTTTTTAAAAATTTATTTTATTTTTAATTCATGGAACAAAACAGGCATTTCTATAACACAGTACAATAAAAAAAGATGATTGCACATGAAACTGCTTTACAATTTGCTATTCCCTCCAAATATACAACAAAGTTATGTAATTTTTTTTTCCTTTTTCCTTTCCTTCTTTCCTTCCCCCCCCCCAAGATGGTGCTTTGTAGAAGAAAGACACTATCTGCATCCACATCCGTAGTTCTTTACCTTTCCAGCAACAGAAGAGGGAGGTGCATTTCCTCATTTCTTTTCTGGGGCCAAGGTGGGTTATTATAATTATGCATAAGCTCACTTTTCTTAAAAATAGTAAAGATTGGCTCAAACACCTTGAAGTAGACACTGAGCCAGTTTGTAGTTAGTGAATGTCACAGTCGTGTTTCAGATTCACTTAAGGTTGAGGAAATGATTGGAAGATACATTTATTGCCTGGCTTATTGTACCAGTTGGGATTTTACAAGGATCTACTGAGAGTAACTCCTTTTCTCCTCCTCCTGAAAGGAAGAGACTTGTTTGCCCACTTCTCACTAAGAAGTTTTCTCTTCCCAGTTACCCCCCCAAAATCTCATAAATAAATTAATAAATCATTGACTTTCTGGTTTTGGTAGGCACTGAAAAGTGACTATGATATAGATGAAAGAAAAAGCAGCACATTTAGCAGTGATTGACTTAGTTGGTTTGAGAGTAGGTTGGAAAGATTAGTTCTCGAGAAGTAGGGAGTAGAAGGGGCTCATTGTCATAGTGGGGTCTGGAAGGGAAACTGCATCTGGGAAGGAACCATATAAGGACACCAATAAATGTAGGTGCCCTTCCTATTCAGAGGTGCTCCTTGTATGGGGTGGGGTTGAAGTGACCAAGATATAATCCACTGTTGCTATTTGCAGAGCCTGTTGATGGTTGCCACAGAGTTTCAAAGGCCACTGCAGTTCCTGAAATGACTGTGTATCATTTGAACCAGAAGAGGGACAGGGATAGTGCAAAAATAGCTCCTGCAAACTTGACCCAAAGGAGATCCTTTGAAGATCATCAACTAGTATTTGTTGTATGCACAGAGATACCTCACACTGTACTTTATAAATCAAAGACAACAAACTCAATTCCATCCTTCCAGGAGCTCTCACGAAGTAGTCTTACTCTTTTGGTGAGGTTTCAGAGTTCTGGATTGTGCTTCTAAGCTTTAAGGTGACATTGGACAAGTTGGACTTTCAGGGGCTTTGGTTTCTTTGTCTGTCAAGAAGACAAGAGGCAGCTATGTGGTGCAGTGGATGGAGCACAGGCCTTGGAGTTCAAAGAACCTGAGTTCAAATCCAGCCTGAGACACTGTGGCACTTACTATCTGTGTGATCCTTGGTTTGTGTGCCTCGAAACAAACAAAACAAAAAAGACGTGATCATCCCTATCTTGTCAACCAATTAATTAACAATCATTTATTCACAAGGTTTTTGTGAGGCTTTAATAATAGGGCATCCAAGTTTTTCCATATCTAAAAACATAATGTTTTGAAATCCTTTATGTGTAGCTGACAAATCTGTATGTGTATGGGACAAACAAATATAAATATATAATTAAATTCAGTACTAATTACAGTTTCTAATTAAGCAAAGTAGGCTAACATTCCTTTATTTGTTCTTTCATAAGGTCGTTCAGTAAGGATTTATTGAGCACTTTCTGAGTACTGGTCATTCTTATAGGTACTTTGTTCTAGGAAGATACAAAATGTATATGATATTCAGTCCCTGCCATTCTGGTGCTAATATTCCAGTAGGAGGATGAAATAGAATCACAGAAGACTGGGACACGCACCATTCCTACCATTGCTGTTACATGAGAAGTGCATTACAGAGTTACCAAATAAAGTGCTTTCTGAAATCCTGGGGAAGATCATCGTCTAGAGGTAATCAGGAAAGGCTTCCTTATGGAGGAGCAATGAGGTTGAACAGAGATGAGAAAGAATTCAGCAGGCAGAGGGAGAAGCATGAATTAAGTCCCTGTGGAAGAGGATTTGGCAGGCACAGGAGTACTCTGAGTAAAAGCCGTGGGGCAAGAAAGTACTGCGTCTGTGTTCAGAGGACAGAGAAGAGTTTGGCTGGAGGGGAGAAATGGGAAGTAAGGCCAGAAAGACTACTTTGTTGAGGGGTTTCATGCCAGGCAAAGGGATTTAAACTTTTTTTTTTAAAGAATGTTTAAATTTTTTTCCCCTTAATTATATGTAAAAACACTTTTAATGTTTGTTTTTTATCATTTCTGAGTTTAAAATTCCTTCCCTCTTCTCTCTCTTTCTTGAGAAGGCAAGTACTTTGATACAGATTATAAATGTGCAATCAAGCAAAACCTATTTCCAGATTAGCCATCTTGCAAAAGGTAACATACACCTCCCTTCTCGCCAAAAAAAAAAAAGTCAAACAAAAAACAACAACAAGAAAAATAAAGAACTTTATATTCTAGGCAATGTGGAGTCACTGAATGGTTTTGAGGAGATGAGTAACATTTTCCGTACTTGGAAAAGATATATTGTTGGTGGCATGAAAGATGGATTGGAAATATAAAGTAGAATTGGGAAGATTGATTAGGAAGCTCTTACAATTGTCCAAATAGGTGGTGATGAGGGCATGTGACTAGTTTGGCCACAGTGGAGACAAGTAAAGTTGTACAGCCTGTCTTACCCATCAGAATGTTCCTGAACATACTCTATGCCCTAGCTAGCTTTGCAGTCTTAGACAGGATTGCCTACTGAACAGCATTTCATTTCTGACCATTGTGTTTTTGTACATGCTGGCTTCCATGCCTTGCATGCTTACCTTTATCACCTCCACCTCTTGTCATCCCTAGCTCTCTTCAGAGTTCAGGTCAAAGGTTGCCTCTCAACAATTGATCATCCAGCCACTGCTTGAAAACCTCATAATGAGGAGCTCACCACTTATTGAAACTCTCCATTCTATTCTTTGGATAGCACTGATTATTAGGGAGACTTTTCTTAGGTCAAACTAAAATCTCCCTCCTTGTAACTTCTACCCATTCCTCCAAGTTCTGCCCTCCAGAGTCAAGGAGAATCCCCCTTCCATGGGATTCTGACCTTCAGATACTTGAAGGCCACTTTATTGTCCCAAACTATCTTCATGGCATGGTTTCTAGTTCCCTCACCATCCTGTTTTCCTTCCACTGTATATACTCCAGTTTGTCAGTGCCACTTCAAAAATGTGCCATTCCACAGTGGACCGATAATGCTCAGAGAACAGCAGAACACAGCAATGCTTATCCCTTTCTTCCCTCCCTCCCTCTCTCTTGAAACTTTCTTTCTATTAATACAAACTAGGATCACATCACTTTTTTGGCTGCCAAGTCAGCACCTGTGCTGGAGGGCTCAACTGGAGGAATGTCGTACTGCATAGCAGAGCAGAGACTGGGCCTGTCAGATTCCTGCTCTTTGCCTTCTTTGCCAGGATTTCTGGTGAAGGAAAAAGTGGAAAGTTAAAGGATGTGGTCTTTCATTCTCCTCTTCACGAAACTTTCATCATGAAAATGCATGGTACAGTGGAATGAGTGCCAGATGTGGGAGCTGAGACCCTGGATTCAAATCATGGTTCTGCCATTTACTATTTGTATGACCTTGGGCAAATCACATGACCCCAGTAACCCTCAGTTTTCTCATCCAGAAGATGAGGAAGTTGGCCTAGATGACCTACCTCAGAGGTCCCTTCTCATTCTCAGTCTAGAAGCTAAAATGCCTGTTTGCACATTGTCTTTCAGGGTATTCGAGGCCTTTACCGAGGAATGGCTGCTCCCCTTGTTGGTGTCACGCCCATGTTTGCTGTCTGCTTCTTTGGCTACGGGTTGGGGAAGAGACTACAACAGAAGCACCCAGACGATGTATTGAAGTAAGTTCTTCAGGCCCACTGTATTAGGCCATGCGTTGAAGAAGAACCATGGCAGGGAGTGGGACATAGTCTTTTGTTGGCTGTTTGTGTTTGTTTTTGGTTTTTTATTTTTTTATTTTTATTTTTTGGCTGTTTGTTTTTAAATGATATATTTTATATATACTGCCTTGTTTCATTAATGAAAGCAGGGAGAGAAAAGAGTCCAGGCTAAAAACAGATCTTGTGTAATAAAGTTCGAGATTTTGTATCTCCTGCCTTCTTTTGCAGAGGAGAGTTAGTACAGTGGGACAGCGTTCACATTTAGCCATAGAATAATCCGCCTATAAAAGACACCTCACTGACAGTCATAGTTTGTCCCTGGGGCAATCTTTGGATAGGTTCATGGGTAAGGAGGGAAGGTGCTTTGGAAAGCTCTGTCTGGAGGCGGCAGCATGGTATAGTGGGAAGAATACTGATGTGGCCTATGAAGACCTGGGCTGTTTGAATGGCTTTACTGTGCTACTCACTGCATGTGTGATCTTGTGCAAGTCTCTTCCCCTCTCTGGCCCTCGTTTTTCTTCTCTATGAAATGAGGGGGTTAGACAGGATGCAGTGGTTTTCAAACATTGGTCCAAAGTTCTACAAATCTATGTGTGCCAAGCTTTTTCATTTGGTGGCTTAGGGAATAGAGTGTGGGACTTAGAGTTAAGAGGCCTGGGTTCAAATCACCACTTGGACACTTAGCAGCACTGTGATAGTAGATAAATCACTTTACCTTTTGAGGCTCAGTTTCCTCCTTTGTAAAATGGACATTTTGTACAAACTACCTTGCACAGCTATTATGAGGAAGACACTTTTGCAAACTTTAAACTGCTATGTCAGTGTAAGTTTATTATTAAGTAGACATATGAAGGGCCTTTGATTTTTATCACTATGAAAACTTAAGATTTCAACTTGTCTGTAACTTATGATAGGATTTTTGAATTGAATGAGTATCAGAAATGTTGGGTGGTTTGCTCATGGTCACCTGGCTAGTAAGTGGAATAAGCCATATTTGAACCCAGGGTTTCCTGACTCCAATTCTAGTATACTATACTGCTTGTTATCATCATCATCATCATCATCATCATCATCATCGTCATCATTATTCATTTTGTCATTATATATTTTTGATCATTTTATTAATAGTCCAGCTACTATAACATATACTAAAATACAAAATTTTTCGACTTTAAAAAATTGTGTTCTTAAACTCAAAAAGTTGACAATTATTAGATGAGCTCTAAGGATCTTTCCAGATGTTAAGTCCTGTGGTTCCATGATCTTTATTCTTGGAACCAAAGGTGAGAGTGTCCTTTATTGTTCTCCCTCCCAACTTGTGAACTGGTGAGGGAGAAAGGGATGCTTTTTTTATTCTTTCTCTATGCCATGCTCATATATGTTTTAATCGTTTCTACATGTGGATGAGGTAGGTCAGTCTTGTTTTCCATCTTTTTGGAAAGTGAAGTTCAGCATGGGGCAGTGACCAAGTCAATAAAATTCCAAAGCTGACTGAGCCATTCTTGCTTCCAGTTCATTCTAACGAATATGTTTCCTAAATGCTGTAAAGAGTAGTTAAAAGAAATATTTTAAAGCTAGAAGGCATATGTAAGCTTTATTGTTAGCTCCTATTTAAAATATTAATCCCTTCCCAAAATGGTAGCCAACCCTGATACTCTTTCTTCTGTGGCAGTAGTAGGGAGCAGATGGCAGTAAGGAACACTGGATTCCCTCTAACAACCCACATCTGTCACTATGGGAGCTCCCTGCTAGGCATCTGACTCTGGCATCAGCAGGATCTCCTTTCAGATCTCTGGCCATGATCCTTAGCAAAAAGCCAGCTGGACTATGGATCCTAGTCAGAGATAAGACTCAGTCCCCTCCCCAGATGAACACAAGCAAAAGAACCTGGCAACCTTGGTTATTATCGTTGGACATTTGAATCCTACAGCATTTACCTGCTCTCACATCTGATTGGCTCAGTAGAATCCTTTTTACTTTTTCAAGAGTAATGTGCATAAGTTACTTTGGACCGATTTTCCAGAGAAAGCCACAGGTGTCCCAAGATTTCAGCCCCAAAGTACATCTGTAAGGGATACTTACAGCACTCTGTGAGTTCTGGGGCCAAAGGGCACAAAGTCTGCTTTGGCCTCAGGAGTCTCTCCTTTTGTATTATATCCATCCCTTCATCTTCCCATTTCTAAGTGCCCACTTTGTACAGAATCATGCACTGGGAGAAGTACAGCATTTAAAAAAGACACCATCATTGCCTGCCCTTCTGGAGCTCAGAGGTCAGTAGCATGTGCTGATTGATATCATTAGAGGGTGATACACAAAGGCAGTAGTGAATTTAGAGAGACATGGGAGACTTGGGTCCGTGGTCTTGCAGCACTTGGGCAGTAACTCAAGTATATAAGCAACTAAAAATTGTTTCCTCACTTGACTCTATCCATATTTGCTTCCTAAAATGGAAATTAGATATGTTGAACAGAAATAGTCTGGAAGGTGGAGCCACCTTTTATGGGCTCTGCTTGCCCAGAAACAGATATCAGGAAGCAAAGGTGAATAAAGGCAGAAGCATTTGGCCTCTGGGGTCTATGGGAGGAATTATACATACAAGGTTTCTGAATGGGCAAGGGTTTGGTCAATGAGGGGACTTCATTTAGGGTATTGTCGAAGGTAAACACCAGGATTGGGAGTAAATACACTTGAGTGTGAATCTCTCATTGATGGTCTCTAGTCACTCTCTCCAAATAGATCCCAGACTTGCCTATCTCAGAGTTGGAAGGGACTTCACTGGACATCTGTTCCAATGTTTCTCTTGTAGAAAAATCTGCTCTACCATACCTAATCATCCATCCAGCTTTTGGCTGGAGACCTCCATGAGGGGGAGCCTGAGGCAGTCTATTCCATTTTTGAATAACGTTACATATTAGGAACATTTTCCTGACCTCTAGCCTCAATTTTCTTTTTGTAACTTCTACCTGTGGCTTCTAGTTCTTCCCATTGAGGCCATTCAGAACAAGCCTTATCCCTCTTCCATGTGATAGTCCTTCAAGTTCTAGAAGAATCCCTTTTTTTTTTTCAGGCTAAACCCCACAACTTCTTTGAACTGCTCCTAATTTGGCATGATCCTAAGCCCCTTTACTATCCTTGTCACCCTCCACTGAACACACCAGAACATCAGTGTCTTTCACAAACATTCATAGCCTCTAGAGTATTTATAGTTAAAAGATGCAGGATCAGTTTGAGGCAGGCCATGCCAGCTAGAGTACCAGGCTTAGGATTGTGGTGCTACTGGATGTAGAATTCTGGTTAGTCATTTTCATATTTTTGCTCAGGATGGGGTGGGTAAGTATGCTGTTCTTTGGACATAGGCAGTGAGTACTGTAAAGTAATGAGTGATTTCCATAGGATCAATGAGAATTATTTAAATTGCACTATTTGTGTCTTACTCTTCTTATATCAGAGTGGAAGGTAAGGGATGTAAAGGGCTTCAGTCTTGGTGGTTGTCACTGGACTCCATTATCTACTTGCTCTGATGGTAGGCTAGTAGGAACCTAGTTAGCCTCATTATTGCAATGATCAACATGTCACCTTACTTGGGAAAGGAACATTTTTCCTCTCCATACTATGTGCTTCATGTAGTTCCATTGGTCCTCCCTTTATAAGCAAGACGTTTCCTCTCCTCCCTCTTGTCATCACCACACAAGCCACTGAATTCCCCACCATTCTTCTAGGTAGGCATACACCATTCCCAGATTCTAGGAATTTGCTTCCTCTTAGCTTTATTCCTACTTTCCAGTGTGAGGATCAGACTGTGATTCAGTAGCCACGGGTCCAAGCTTCAACAGATTAACTAGAGCTATACAATTTTTAGTGATATAGAGCTTATTCTGAAGTGGGCAGAGGGGAGAAGGTAAAGAAAGAGTTTAGAAGCTCAATCCATTGTTGCTGAATCCCTTATCCTAAATTCAAATCCCCATTTCAACCTGGAAACAGGGATGGGGAGCTACTGCTACCCAACTGTTGTGCCAGCTGTGGATGCCATGTGCATCAGATTCTTCTGGTTATACAATTCGTCAGGCTCACTGTGGCCGAGCAAAGGAGTTTGTCAGAAGTATTTCCCAAGATTCTATAGCTCTTGTTGAAATGTAACCAACTTCAGCTCTGTTCCTTGTTCCTATTAACCAGGCTCAAAGGTTGGTCTGAATAGGAATGGAAACTGAGCAAGACAGGAAGTCATCAAAGCCACTACTGCAAAGGCAGTGACATAATGGGAAAAGACTAGACTTGGGATCAAAAGAGGCCTGGGGTTCAACTCTTGCCTCCCACCCTTATGTGGTGGTTTTGTGACCATGGGCAAGGCTTCTCTGAGCTTTTATTTCTCCATCTATAAAATGGGGTTAATGATACCTATCAAATTGACTTGCCAAAGTTATGACATCAAACAAGATAAACTATGTAAAGCACTTTTTTAACCTTAAAGTATGTCAGTTGTTGTTACTATGTTATTACCAATTCTTTGGCCATAGACAAAGCAAACCTGAAGATGCCATTGTGTGCAGGCAGGCAGGTGGGCAGGCAGCTTTGCAGAATTAAAGACTGGCTCAGCTCCATCTACCTCCTTCCTGATAATGTGAGACAGCCATTATTCATTCCACACACCCTCAGTGCTTGGAGGGCAGAGTGTTCTCAGTTCCTTGGTGACCCTCAAAAGATAGCTTGTATCCATACTTAGTGTCCATTAGGAAATGAGCCAAGATTACTTCTTAACCCAGACCTCCCACTTTTTTTGGTATGGAAGGCCACAATGGTGCAAAACCTTCTTAACCCTTTAGCTTCCTTGGACCTTGGGCCCTGGAAAAGCAAGACAAAAGCAAAACAAAACCAAAACCTCAACCTTCTAGCTTTGCAATGATGGGTCCTCCAAATACCCTTTGCAGCTTTGTAAAGTACAGATGTTTGGGTATAAAGCTGCCTCATTTCTGGAATTTCCTACATCCTGTGTAGTTAATCACTGGCTCTCTACTACTCTTGTTTTTTCCACTGTAGTTATCCCCAGCTGTTTGCAGCTGGAATGTTATCTGGTGTGTTCACAACAGCAATCATGACTCCTGGAGAAAGAATAAAGTGTCTCTTACAGGTAAGCAGGAAGAAAGTATTGTGCTTTTCAGTTGTATAGTTTTTGTTTGCCATTTTTTAAAAGTCCCTCCATTCCTTAAGTACCAGTGCTAGATACATGTGCAAAATGTTTTCAAGGTTTATAGAAATATGGGAACTTTTAATTATCTATCAGTCCATCAACATACATTCATTAAATGCCACCTGTATGCCAGGCACTATTGCTTGTTGCTAGAGATACAGACACAAAAATGAAATTGTCCCTCTTCCCAAGGAGTGTACATGCCATTAGAGGATATAACATATACATATGTAGGTACAGACAAAAGAGAGAAAGTGTAATTTTAGGGGGAAGACACTAGAAGCTGGGGATTAGGAAAGGCTTCCTGTGCTGTAGAAGTTGGCACTTTAGCTGTTCTTTGAAGGAAATTAGGGGTTCAAAGGCAGAGGTGAGGAGAGAGTGCAGCCCAGGGATAGGAGAGAGCTAGTACAAAGGAATGGAAGTAGGAGTTGGAATACCTTGTGTGAGGATGAGTAAGAAGGTTAGTTTGGCTGGCCTGCAGTGTGTGTGAAGAGGTATGTAAGAAGGATGGAAAGCCTGTATTGGATCCTAAATGGAATGGGGAGCCATTAGAATTTATTAAGTAGGAGAGTGACAATCAGACCTGCACTTAGGAAAATCTTTGGCAGCTGTGTGGGGAAAGACTTGAGGCTAGGAGACCATTTAGGAGGCTTTTGTAAAGTATTCTGTAAGAGCTGATGAAGGCCTTAACTAGAGTGGTGGCCACGTGAGTGGAGAGAAGAGGACAGATGCAAAATATGTCATAGAGGTAGAAACAACAGGATGTGGCAGTTGATTAGCTGTGTGGAATTAGGCTAAGAGGATAGCTCCAAGGTTTTGAACCTGGGTGGTTGGAGGGTTGGTGGCACCTTTGATAGAAATAGGTAAATTTGGAAAGGAGTGGATTTGGGTGGAAGTAATGAGTTGTATTTGGAGTATGTTGAGTTTGAGGTGCTGTGGGACATCTAGCTCAAGTGTGAGAGAAGAATATTGATGTATCTTATTAGCAAGAAAGCAAGACAGACCTGTCATTCTCCACTTTAAAGCTACATACTTTATTCAGCCGATCAGAAAGCTAGAAAAACACTGCGGTGCATCAGACTTGAGAGAATGGCCTCCCATTCCTATGCTTCTCCACCTATCCAAACCCTACCTTTCCTTTAACAGACAGCTCAAGACCCACCTCCTGCACAGTCTCCCTCTGCAGCAGTGCTTTTGACCTAATACTGAATTCCTTTATCATTTATGTTATCTTGAATTGTTTTTCAGTTTTTTAATATCTGTGTGTTCTGACTTTGTAACTAGGCTGTAAGTTCTACAGAGATAGGAACTATTTATCTTCTCCATCTATTGTATCTTCTGCATGATAGTTACTTAGTTTGTGTTTGTTGAATGAGCGAATTGTTAACTGAAAAATCCCATGCTCAATTCCCTCGTGTGGAAAGTTACTGGTTAGGTATTTGGGGAAACACTTAAGGAGAAGCCCTAGCATAAAGATTTAATGTTTGTATTAAAAAGGTAATAACTATCAACAAAAAAAAATAACAAATAAAATCTTAAATAACAAGGTAGAAGTAATTTAATGAACAAAAAGGAAAGCAAAAAAAAAATTTGTGCTGCACATCTTTCAGGCATGTCTAAAATTCTGAGACCTCCAACTTTTCTTCTTTTTTTGCTTCTTTCTTCCTTTTCTTCCTTTTTTTTCTCTTATAGTCAAGTTGTACATTCTGGTTCTACTGTTTTCTGTTTGCATCACCTTTTATTTCCATACTTATTTATGTTTGATATTTATCATTTTTGTAGGATGTATTCCATTATGTTAACATATGTAGTTTATCTCCAATTACAAGAAAAGTTTATATCATTTTTTTTGTTATTACAGATTATAAATATTTCTGTACAGATAAGTCCTTCCTCTCCCTCCGCACCCTTTTAAAGAAATGGTTTTTGAGATAGTGTCAGCAATGGGACCACTGTGTGGAAAGTACATTTTGTTATCTTGGTCTCCAGAATGTTTCTACCAGTTGATAGCCACTTAATGACATATTGAAATGTCCATTTTGACACAATGTTGCCAACAATACATTTTTACAGTTTTTCACTTTTTGCCATTCCAGTGGGATATTTAATAAAGATCTTTCAGTTGGGTTGATTCACTTTTTTTACACTTAATTTTTATTTTATTTTTTTCTCAATTGCATTTAATATTTGTTTTTTAAAATTTTGAGTTCCAAATTCTCTCCTTCCTTTCCTGCCCCTTCCCTCAGAAGGCAAGCAATTTATATATATTATACATGTGCAGTCATGCAAAACATTTCCATATTAACTCTATTGCAAAAGAAAATACAGACCAAAAAACCGAGAATAATGAAGAGGGTAAAAAAACGTATGCTTCAATCTACATTCAGACTGTCATTTTTTTTTTCAGTGGAGATGGATAACATTTTTCATTGTAAGTCCTTTGGAATTGTCTTAGATCTCTGTATTGCTAAGAATAGCTAAGTCATTCACAGTTGATCATTGTACAATATTGCTGTTACTGTTTCTGGTTCTGCTCATTTCACTTTGTATCAGTTCATGTAAGTCTTCCAGGTTTTTCTGAAAGCATCCTGCTCATCGTTTCTTATAGCACCATAGTACTCTTTTTTTTTTTTTTGGTGAGGCAGTTGCCCAGGGTCACACAGCTAGTAAGTACCAAGTTTCTGGTCTGAGACCGGATTTGAACTCATGTCCTCCCGACTCCAGGGCTGGTGCTCTATCCACTGCACCACCTAGCTGCCCCAACCATAGTACTCTTATCACAAATTATATAGCACAAATTGTTCAGCTATTCCCCAATTGGTGGGCATCCCCTCAATTCCTAATTGTTTGGCATTGCAAAAAGAGCTGCTATATTTAGGTCCTTTTCCTTTTTCTTTGATCTCTTTGGGTTACAGACCTAGTAGTGGTTTTGCTGGGTCAAAGGGTATGCAGGGTTTTATAGCCCTTTGGACATAATTCCAATTTGCTCTCCAGAATGGTTGGATCAGTTCATAACTCCACCAACTGTGTATTAGTGTCTTTATTTTTCCATATCCCCTCCAACAGTTGTCACTTTCCTTTTCTGTCATATTAACCAATCTGATAGATGTGAGATGATATCTCATAGTTGTTTTAATTTGCCTTTTTCTAATCAGTAATGATTTAGAGCATTTTTTTCATGTAACTAGAGATAGCTTTGATTTCTTCATCTGAAAACTGCCTATTCATATCCTTTGACCATTTATCGATTGGATAATGACTCATATTCTTATAAATTTGACTCAGATATCTATATATTTGAGAAATAAGACCTTTATCAGAGAAACTTGTAAAAAAAATTATCCATTTCCTTCTTTCTTTCCTTTTGATCTTGGTTGCATTGGTTTTATTTGTGTAAAAAGTTTCAATTTGCTGTAATCAAAATTAATCCATTTTACATCCTGTAATTTTCTCTTATTCTTGTTTGGTCATACATCTTTCCCTTAACCATAAATTTGACAGGTAAAATATTCCATGCTCCCCTAATTTGATTATATCACCCTTTATGTCTACCTTTATGTCAAATTTGACCTTGACTTAGTATTTGGTATGAGATATTGGTCTATATCTAGTTTTTACCAAACTGCTTTGCAGTTTTTGCTGGGAAAATAAGTCAAATAATGAGTTCTTGTTCCAAAGGCTTGGATCTTTGAGTTTATCAAACCCTGATTACTATGGCCATTTACTACAATGTATTGTGTATCTACTGTTCCACTGATTTACTCTACTTTTAACTAATACCAGATTGTTTTGATTATTACTACTTTATAATACAGTTTGATGTCTGGTACTGCTAAGCCATCTTCCTTCACGTTTTTTTTCATTGATTCCCTTAATATTCTTGACCTTTTGTTCTTCCAGATGAATTTTATCATATTATTTTTTCTAGCTCTGTAAAATAATTTTTTGATAGTTTGGTATGGACTGAATAAATAAATTTTGGTAAAATTGTCATTTTTATTATATTGTCTCAGCCTACCCGTGAACAATTAATATTTCTCCAATTGTTTAAATCTGACTTTATTTGTGTGAAAATGTTTTGTAATTGTGTTCATATAATTCCCCAGTTTATCCTAGCAGATAGACTCTCAAGTATTTCATATTGTCTCCAGTTATTTTAAATAGAATTTTTCTTTCTGTCTCTCACTGCTGGACTTTACTGGTAATATGTAGAAATGCTGATGATTCATATCAGTTTATTTTATATTCTACAGCTTTGCTAAAGTTTCAACTAGTTTTTTAGCTGATTCTCTAAGTATAGCATCATATCATCTGCAAAGAGTGATAGTTGTGTTTCCACGTTATCTATTCTGATTCCTTCTATTTCTTTTTCTTGTCTTACTGCTATAGCTAGCATTTTATTTCTAGAAAAATATTGAATAATCTTGGTGGTAATGAGCATTCCTGTTTCACCTCTCATCTTATTGGAAAGACTTCTAGCTTATCCCCATTACAGATAATGCTTGCTGATAATTTTAGGTAGATACAGCTTATTATTTTAAGGAAAGCTCCATATATTCTTGTGCTGTCTTGTGTTTTTAATAGGAATGAATGTTGTATTTTGTCAAAAGATTTTTCTGCATCTATTGAGATAATCATATGATTTTAATTTTAATTTTTTTTTGTTATTGGTATGGTCAATTATGCTGATAGTTTCTTTGACATTTAACCAGCTCTGCATTTCTGATATAAATTCCACCTGGTCATACTGTATATAATCTTTGAGATATATTACTGTTATTATTACTTGCTAATATTTTTATTTAAAATTTTTACATCAGCATTCATTAGGGAAATTGGTCTATAGTTTTCTTTCTCTGTTTTTGCTCTTCCTGGCTTAGATATCACCACCATATTTGCATTGCAAAAGGAATTTGGTAGGAATCCCTCTTTGCCTATTTTTCCACATAGTTTATATAGTATTGGAATTAATTGTTATTTAAACATTTGGTAGAATTCACTTGGGAATCCACCTAGCCCTGGTGATTTTTTCTTAGGGAGCTCATTGATGGCTTATTCAATTTATTTTTCTAAGATGAGATCTGTTTCCTCTTCAGTTAATCTGGGCAGTTTATATTTTTGTAAATATTCATCCATTTTACTTTCAATTGTCAGATTTATTGACATATAGTTGGGCAAAATAGGCCCAAATAATTCCTTTAATTTCATCTTTCTTAGTGGTAAATTCACCCTTTTCATTTTTAATACTGGTCATTTGTTTTGGTTTTTTTCCTTTAATCAAATTAATGAATGGTTTATCTATTTTTTTTAAAATAAAACTAGCCCCTGGTTTTCTTTATTAGTTCAATGGTTTTCTTTCAATTTTATTAATCTCTCCTTTGGTTTTTCAGGATTTCCAATTTGGCATTTAATTGGGGATTTTTAATTTACTCTTTTTCTAGTTTTTTTAGTTGATTGCCCAGTTCATTGATTTATTCTTTCTCTAGTTTATTGATGTAAGCATTTAGAGTTATAAATTTTCCCTAAGTACTGCTTTGACTACATCCCATAAATTTTGGTATGTTGCTTCATTGTTGTCATTCTTTTTAATTAAATTATTGATTGTTTCTGTGTTGTCTTCTTTGACCCAGTCATTTTTAGGATTAGATTATTTGATTTCCAATTAATTTTGAATCCATGTTTCCACAACCCTTTATTGAATATAATTTTTGTTGCATTATGATCTGCAAAAGGATACATTTAATGTTTCTGCTTTTTTGCATTTGGTTGTGAGGTTTTTATGCCTTAATACGTGATTAATTTTTGTGTAGGTGCTATTTACCACTGAGAAAAAGATATTTTTTCTATTCCCATTCAGTTTTCTTCAAAGGTCTATCATTTTTAACTTTTGTAAAATTTTATTCATCTTCTTAATTCCTTTCTTGTTCATTTTATGATTAGATTAATTCTGAGAGGGAAAAGTTGAGGTCCTCAGTAGTATGGTTTTACTCTCTGTTTCCTCCTATAACTCATTTAACTTTTCCTTTAAGAATTTAGATGCTCTACCATTTGGTGCTTATATGTTTAGTATTGATAATGCTTCACTGTCTATGGTACTGTTTAGCAAATTGTATTTTCTCAGCTTATCTCTTTTAATTAGATCTAGTTTTGCTTTTGCTTTGTCTGAGATCATGATTGCTACTCTGGCTCTTTTTTTTTTAAACCTCAGCTGAAACATAATAAATTCTGCTCCAGCCCCTTATTTTTACTCTCTGGTGTATCTCTGTTTCAAGTGTGTTTCTTGTAACATATTGTTGGATTCTGGTTTTAATCCATTCTGCTATCGATTTCCATTTTATGAGTGAGTTTATCCTATTCCCATTCACAGATAGAATTATTAACTGTATATTTCCCTCTATCCTATTTTTACCCCTGTTTATCCTTCTTTCTCTTTTTAACCTATCCCCCCTCAAAAAGTCTGTTTTGCTTCTAACCATTGTCTCTCTTAATTTTCCCTCCCCTTCTCTTGTCCCCTTCCCCTCCTTGCTTTTCTATAGGGTAAGATAGAGTGCGAATATTATTCCCTCTCTGAGCCAATTCCAATGAGAATAAGGTTCAAGTGTTGCTCACCACCTTCCTCCTGTATCTTTCCCTCCATTGTAAAAGCTCTTCTTTTTGTGCCTCTTTTGTTCTCCCGGTGCATCCTTCTTTTTCACCCCTTAATTTTACCTTTTTTAAGTCATCTCATCATAATTAACTCACTCCTGTGCTCTCTGCCTTTGTATACTCCTTCTAACTGCCCTAATAGTGATAAAGTTCTTAGTAACTAAAATTATCATCTTCCTGTATGGGAATGTAAACATTTTAACCTTATTGATTCTCTTATGATTTCTCTTTCAGTTTTACCTTTTTATGCTTTGCTTAAGTATTATATTTGAAAGTCATTTTCTATTCAGCTCTGGTCTTGCCATCAGCAGTGCTTAGAAGTCTTCTGTTTTGTTAAATATCCATTTTTTAGCCCTGAAGGATTTTACTCAGTTATGCTGGGTAGTGATTCCTGATTATAATACTAGCTTCTTTGCCCTCTGGAATATCATATTCCAAGCCTTCTAGTCTTCTAATATGGAAGCTGCCAAATCTTGTATGGTCCTGACTCTGGCTCCATGATACATGAATTATTTCTTTATGGTGTGCTTGCAATATTTTCTCCTTGAGCTGAGAGCTCTAGAATTTGACTATAATATTCCTGGGAGTTTTCATTTTGGGATCTCTTTCCCAAACTTGGTAGAGTCTTTCAGTTTCTATTTTACTTTCTGGTTCTAATCTATCAGGACAGTTTTCCTTGATAATTTCTTGAAAGATGATGTTTAGGCTTTTTTTTTTAAATCATGGTTCTCAGGTAGTACAATAAATTCTTAACTTATCTCTCCTTGTTCCATTTTTTCCAGGTCACTTGTTTTTCTGGTGAGCTATTTCACATTTTCTTCTATTTTTTAAAATTCTTTTTACTTTGATTTGCTTTTTCTTGGTTTCTCATGGAGTCATTTGTTTCCACTCTCCCAATTCTAATTTTTAAGGAATTATTTTCTTCAGTGAGCTTTTGTGCCTACTTTTACCAGTTGGCCAATTCTGGTTTTTTAGGTATTGTTTCCTTTATTAATTTTTTGTGTCTTTTTTACCAAGTTGTTGATTCTTTTTTCATAATTTTCTTTCATCATTCTCATTTCTTTTATCACTTTTTACTCTACCTCTATTATTTGATTTTTAAAATCCTTTTTGAGCTCTTCCAGGAATTCTTGTTAGACTTGTATCCAATTTACATTTTTTTCTTTGTGGCTTTGCTTGTAGTTGCTTTGACATCATTGTCTTCTGGGTTTTTCTCTGAATCTTTCCTGTTTTCACAGTTATTTGTTATAGTAGTGTTCTTTTGTTGTCTGTTCATTTTTCTATCCAATTTCTTGACTTTTAGCTTTATGTTAAATTTGGATTCTACTCCTGGAGTGGAGGGGGCACTGCCCCACACTTCAGGACTTTTTTTGCTACTGTTTTCAGAGCTAGCCCTCAGGTCAATATGTTATTGGTGCTTCCAAGGTGGTATTATCTAAGGAGAGGCGTGGTCCCTGGTCTTCTGACCTGTTTGCTGGTCTTTACCCAGGAAGAGACCTTTTTTCTCCTGTAGCCACCAGTGCTAGCATTCCTTCTGTCCCTGGGACTGTGACCAGGTTCCACACCCTCCTGCAGGCACAATTGCTAGTGCTTCCCTCTGGGTTGGGAGCAGGACCCCTACACCCCTGTGAATAACCACAGGGTCTTGAACCTAGTGCCAGCAAAGAATCCCCTGCTATCTTTCCAACCAGTTGTCTGACTCCCCCACTGTCTATGGGCTGAGAGATCCAGAAGTTGCTGCCACCACCAAGGCAGCCACCTCCAAGGCACCCTGTGATGCACCCTGTGCTGCACATTCTATGCTCCACTCCAGGCCTGACCACCACCCTGGTGAGATAGACCTTTCCTGCTGACCTCCTAAGTTTTCTTGGGCTGGAAAATTGTTTCACTCAACCTGTTGTCAGTTCTGCTGCTCCAGAATTTGATTTGAGGTGGTATTTTAGAGTTATTTGGAGGGGACTTTGGGAGGGCTCAGCTGAGTGCTTCTCTTTGCCATCTTAGCCTTGTCTCTGGGTTGATTCACTTTCGGTAATCTGATTTTCTTGCCTCCCCCTCACTCCCTCAGATTCAGGCTTCTTCAGGTGAAACAAAATACACTGGTGCTTGGGATTGTGTCAAAAAACTTTATCGTGAAGCTGGAATAAGAAGCATTTACAAAGGAACTATGCTTACGCTCATGCGAGGTAACCACTGGGTATCACCCTTCCAGAATATGCAAAACTGCCATAAAAATATATCTTGCACTAAAAGAAGGCAGAAGTTGGGATTTTTTAATCCCCCATTTCTGACAGGATATAAAGCTTATTTTTCGTATTTAAGATGAAATTGGCTGTAAGTAGCATATCTTTAGGAAATATCAAAATAAGTAGTAGGTCAGCTGAGCTAAGAGTGTATGATGTGGATTTCGGGATAGTGCATAGGCAGGGCTGTGGGATACTGATGGACAGCCTTTTCCCATAACGAATGGGAGTACCACAAGGCTGAGCATTGCCAGCAACCCTCAGTGTGGTCTCTTTGCAGACTCTTCGTGGAGGAGACTGCAGGAGCTGGGATGGGAAAGGAAGTGATGAACAGAGATCTCCAGGGAAAAAGAGCAGATCCTTAGGTTGAGATTATGATGTGGCAGAGAAGGTAAAGTAGAGGAGGTTGGGCTGTGTTGTACAAGGGGGATGTCTTGGTTGGTGTGAGTGATGGAGTGGATCTGCTCCTCCCACCCTTTCAAGACTTTGTAGCAGGGAATGGGTCTGGTGGTATTTCTGAGAAAATCTCAGGAGGATCCCTGTACTGAGCTTTGAATGATTCACTATTTGGGGGTGGGGTAAGAAAAAGTAATTGAATTTTTTAAAGTACTTTCAAATAATGACAAGACAAATTTTTGTAATCATTCAAATTGAATATTGATAATCTAGCAAAAACCCAAACAAAATCAGTCTAGTTTATGGGTTCAGAAGGTAAAACTGGTGATAACCTTAAAGTACTCTAATACTTTTTAATATTCTTCATTTTTTCATTGTGGATACTCCCTCCAGATACCAACCCCACTCTGTGCTTTAGTAGATAATTTTTTTTTAGTAATAGATTTGTATTGATCTTTTTTTTTGCATTGCCTAGATTTCCCTTAAATTCCTTCTCCTCTCAGAGAACAGTTCCTTATAATAAAGGTTTTCTTTAAAAAAAAAAAGGGAGGAAAAAAACCTCAACAAAACCATAATTGTACATCCATGGACCACCCTCCTACCTTTGTCTCTGCAAAGGGATGGAGGGAGCTCTCTTTTCATATTTTTCAAGGGCCAATCTTTTAACCATACACTCTTAAATTCAAGAATATTAGCTAGTTTTGCTTTATTTTTCTTAGCAAGTATCTTTCTTGATACAAACAGATGTTCCTGCCACTGGTATGTACTTCATGACTTATGAGTGGCTGAAAGATCTCTTCACTCCAGAAGGCAAAAGGTAAGTAGAAAAAGCTTCCCTAGGGATTGCTGCTCCTAACTTAGGAAAGAACTGAAGGGTAAGGGAAATACATGGCCTTCTAAGACTAGCTCCATTTCTTCTCTGGATAGTAGGTGTGAAGGTCTTGACCTCCTGTTCTCCTTTTATTCATTGACTTCGATAGGCCAGGATTAACAGTTCCACATTGGGACTGTAATGGGTGACTCAGCCATGTCTGAAAAAAAAAGAAACTACTTCTTAGCTGCATTTTTCTCATTTGTTTCCCATTCCTGCAACTCACTGCCTTTCCTGCGGTTGCCTAAGAAGTGATTAGGGAGCACTCACCTTTTTCCTGCAGCTGTTACTATTTTCACCCAAGGCCACAGTCAGGAAGGAGTCTCCAATACCTGTTCTTGTACCTACTTCTCCTCCTCCTTCCTCTGCAGGCAGATCTGCTTGGTTCTCTCAGCTCACACAGCCTTTCTCTTTCTCTTAACCATCCTCTTACAATGGTTTGTTCTCTGCAGTGTTAGTGAGCTCAGTGCCCCTCGAATCCTCGTGGCTGGAGGCTTTGCAGGAATCTTTAACTGGGTTGTGGCTATCCCTCCGGATGTGCTGAAGTCCCGCTTCCAGACTGGTGAGAGAGGATCAGGCTGCATAGTGGGGAGTCGACCCACAATGCTTCCACACATGTTTCATCCTTTGCTTTTGATCAAAAGACTTTTTTTGAAGATAAAAACTGTTGCAAGTATAGTCAGTTCTCTGCTAATTGGTGGAATCTCCACAGCAATACTTAAATCCCTTGCTGGATTCCCCATTAGCCTCCAAGAGAGACCTAAGACAGTGTGTGTACCAGGAATGTAGACTCATTGTGATGTCAGCCTGGGCAAAGAAAAAAAATTAGAAGATAAATCTACTTTTCTTCCAAAACAAATCATACATGATACCGCATTTGAAAGACAAACAGAAAATGATTTGTGGATTATTTAGCCACTGCCCCTTTATGTTTGTGTCAGGTTAGGAGGTCAGTACTGTATCAGTAGACAAGATAAAAGATATGTTTGAGGAATTAAACACCTGATTCGGTCTATCACCTTAAAGTTGCAGCCCTTTTTGGCAACTGCTGTGTTCCCCAGTGACATATGCTAGTGTCTTGAGCCACTGCTAATGGACCCCCCTCTTGACTCAACTGTGTCAGTAATACTGTGTGGGCTCAAACAGTGGTCCCAGGTAACTTTATAAAGTCTTAGTTGACTATTTTGCTCCAACAGCCCCACCTGGAAAATACCCTAATGGATTCCGAGATGTGCTGAGAGAGCTGATCCGAGAAGAGGGTATCACATCCCTGTATAAAGGTTTTACTGCTGTAATGATCCGTGCCTTCCCAGCAAATGCTGTAAGTATAAAATAATAACATGACTTGCTTACAATTCTATAGAGCTTGAAGGTTTGCAAAGTATTTTCAACAGTCTTGTGAGATAAATAGTGCAAGGGTTATTGATGCCATTTTTAAAGATAAAGAAACTGAGGCTTTGAGAACTGAAATGACTTGCTGTGCATCACATAACTAGTAAATGTCAGAAAGAGGTTGGAACCCAGGTCTTCTCATTCCAAGTCCAAAGCTATTCCCGTGACACTATGCAATGTCTGCATGATAACTCACTTTTATATAGCTCTTGAAATTATACAAAGCAGTCAGTTCACAACAAACAATAGTGTAAGAATTATTCATCCCATTTTATAGATGAAGAAACCAAGGCTAGGAAGTAGCAGATATGAAGTATGAACCCATGTCATCCTCTGTGCCTCACCTAAGGCTCCTCCATTCTGCAAGCTAGGGACCAGACAGCATGGGGCTGGCAAAGCAGCTAGCTCAGAGGCAGATGTTGCCTTCTTCCTGATTTCAGACTCTTGTGCTCAATCCCTTTATTATATAGTTATCATTGAGACCTGCCTTCTTGGTCCTCAGGTGGAAGAGGGAAGTTGCATCTTTAGGTTTTGAAATTCTGCATCCTGCTTAAATTTCAGAGAATATTTGTTCTACCCATTGTGGCTGAACAATTACCATTCCCCATGGGGAGCTATGGCTTTCCATGTCCCTGGGTACCTATACTATTTGAGTTCTATAGAAGTTTAGGGCACTGGGGCACAGAGGCATCCTGTTCTGTCCTCTGGGCTCTGAATCACCTTGAGCTTACATCTCCACACTGGGAACTAACTGGCCTCTTCAATCACGAGTTGGCTTTGGAAGAGAAGCTCTTAGCAAAGGGGCACTGATTCCTTGTACTGGATGTTGGGAATGTGAGAGTCACTGAATGTTAGAGTTGGAGACGATGATGCAGCCCACCATCCTCATTTTGTAGCAGAGGAAGCTGACCAGCGAGGGGAAAGATTTTCTCGAGTCATAACTAGCTAGTTATATGGCCAAGCCAGAACTTGGACCAAGGCATTCTGATTGCTTGTCTGTTATGCTACCTCCCCTGTCCCTGTGCTGTCCAGTGTACAACTTTTGTTTCATTATTTGACAGAAAGAGGAGACTACTTCTCTGCCTCGAGTAAGGGCTCTGAATTTGTTTGGTGTCATGGACCCCTTGCACAGTGTCTGGTGAAGCCTTCTCAGAATCACATTTTTAAATGCATAAAGTAAAATACATGAGATTACAAAGGAAACCCATTATAATGAGATGGATTTATTATTAAACATTAAATTAAATATTAAAAAAACACAAGTTTACAAACCAAAGATTGAGCTCAGAAGTTAAAGCTGGCTCCAGCTTTAATAAGCGTTAATTAAGCGCCTGTTCATACATACCAGTCCTTATACTCAGCCTTTGAGATGCAAAGAAAAGTAAAGTAAAATAAATAAATAAATAAATGAGCCCCAGTTAAGTTATCAGCTAGCTTTTTTGGGTGTGTACTATGTTAGGTGCCTGAGAATCAAAAATGAAAATAAATAACAGCCCTTGTCTTCAAGGAGCTTATATTCTTCTAGATTGAAGCAATAGGAGAGACTGTCAGATAAGAGGTTATTATCTGAGAGGGAAATTTCAGTGTTGAGATTATGGAGGTGGCATAGTCACAGATGGTGGTAAGATCTAGGATATGACCACCTCTGTGGGTGGTTGGTCACGGGAACTGAAGTTATTGATTTGGTTTCCTGGCTACCAAGTGGTAGACAGCAGGGAGTTGTGGGACGGTGGATAGATTGACTGTTGGGAAATAGGTCTGTGGCTACTGTGACTTGATAGAGTTATTTTATTTTGATAGCAGTAACACTGATTGAGCCCTTTTTGCTTTGGAGAGGTTCCTGAATTTAATGGATTTCCCTTTAGCTGTAGCAGGGGAGGATGATAGAGAGCTAGTCTCCACATAATATGGGGAATCAGTACTCTCCTAACACTCCTTCCATCTCTTTTTTCCTAGGCCTGTTTCCTTGGCTTTGAAATTGCCATGAAGTTCCTTAATTGGATTGCACCTAATTTATGAAACTCAGAAATCATCAATCCTCCAGACAAAGGGAGGAGGTGTACAGTGACAAGGGAGGGTCGAGACTGAACTCAACTTGGCAAGAATCTGCATATTGGTCGGGGGAGGGGGAAGAGAATGAAGAAATAAGAACACTTAATGAACTTTGTATAACTTATGCCTTAAAGACATCCTTTGGCTGGTTCAGTGTGGCCATTTTGAAACTTGAATTCAGTCTTGGTCATTTAAGGAGATTTCATAAGGCTTTGGAGGTTGAAGTCAGTAGCTAGCCTCAAAACACAATCTATTTTGCGCCTATGCCATCCCTAGCCAACTTTTATAAACCTGCTACGTAGGACATCTTCCTCAGTTCCAGAAGGGCCGTGAATCAGTAACAGTACCAGAGACATATTTTTAATACCAACTAAACTTCAGTTGAGAGACTGTTCAAACACTAGTTGATGAACACAATTCTCAGGACACCTTTTAACCTTTGGTTTGCATATGTTGAAATGTGACTGTAGTTTATTGTCTCCATTTGTGCTGTCTTTGGATATATACTTAAGAGCATATTACCAGCTTTTCAACACTGGGGTTTTAATTTTGTGTGTCACTAATCGAGAAGCAGAATAAAATAGCCTAATTCTGGTAGGGTTGCGTGGGAAAGTGTCCTCTTTCCCAACCAACTCCCACCCTATGACTAGGACAATTTTGAATCAACAATCGAGTCATGGAATCGGTGAGGATCAATTAGGTGTGTGGCAGAACACCTTCTGCACACTTTCCTCTGTGGTGAGGGGATCCTCTATTATCAGGAAATAATAAATACCTCTTTTTTTCTCTGACTTTTGTTCTTCTGACTGTGTACTTGTTAGCTGGCAGCCTGTTAGCCGGCTGATGCCGAGGACTAACGAAAGCAGCTGCTGAGTCTCCCCTTGACCTTCAGACCCTGGTCCCATCCTACCTCTGTGAGCAGCAGTTTTTCCGAATCCCGTTTTGCCCCTGCTAGCAGAGGGAGGAGAACTTGGTTGCTAGTCTTTTCACTTGGTTAGTTCATAGGATCAGATTCAGAACTGCAAGGGACCTTGAAATCACCCAGCCCAACTCCCTCACTCTACAGTTTAGAGTATTGAGGCACAGGGAAGGCTAGTGACTTACATAAAATCACAACATTAGTGACAAGCTAAGGTTGACATTTAGGCCCTTTGACTACAGATCCAGCGTTCTCACCAGTGCGCTCCATTGCCCCACATCAGGCTGCCATCTTCAGCTAGTTGGAAGTGAGGCCTTGGCTTTATCTCCCTCAAGTAAAGTAGCTTCAGTTTGCTCCCTGGCCACAGTCTGCACCTTTCTGCAAACTGCTTTCAATTTAATACAGATCCTGCCAGTCCTTGGTGGTGTCCTTGTTCTGTCTATGAATTATTTGTTGATAGAGTTCGAAGCCAGAAGCTCTGAAATCAACCAATTCATGTCTCTGGCTTTTGCCTTTAGTGGGAAACTCTCCCTGCAGCTCTTCTTGGCTTTACCAGGCCCCCTGAGAATGTCTGTGGGTGGGGGCTTTTCCCGAAACCACTGCTTTTTCCCAGCCTATGTTGTTAGGTCACTTGTATTCAAGCCAAATGCCAGCTTTATTCCATGTCCCAGAACTATTTCCTGGGAGAGTTGGGTTGGGTCTGAAGTCTATTTAGACTTTTTCCAGCTGACAGCTGAGTTATTTGCTCTGGAAGACAATGTATGAACGTGAAATGTTTTGCAAACCTTAAGGCACTATTTAAATGTGACCCACCAGCATTCATCATTATCATCATTACATTATGAAAGAGAGCATTCACAATCCTCAGACAGAGCAGCCTTTTGCTGCTTTGGGTGCTTGATGGATGTTAAGTCTAAAAAGGAAAGCTTCTGAGAACATCTCTGAATGACATCAAGCAGATGGAAGGAGTAACTTCTCCTAAGCCTTTGGAGCAGAAGGTTGCTTTTTATAACTGCACTTTAATGCTAGTTAGAGATACTTTCATTCTCTCCCTCCAGGAGGGGACTTGCCACCTCCCTAGCTTCTGTCAATCTCAGCTAGAATCTAGACAGTGATTGTGAAGGCAACAGTGTAGCAGTTAAAGTCTGGCAAGTGATAGAAGATGAATGAAACTGGGTTAAGATTTAGTAACAATTGAAGGGTCAGCAGGTTTCTCCTCCTAAGGGACCATGGCCTGTTTGCTTAAAGCAGTCCTGTTTTTATGCCAGGGCAACCACACTGATTCTCATGCAATCTTCTAATGTCAGTTGGGATGGGGTGTCATGTCACAGAAAGAGCGTGAGAGTTGGAGTCAGGAGACCTGGGTTTGAATCTCAGCTCTTCCACTTACTAGCTATTGACTTTAATTAACTGACTTGAGAAGTCAGGCCCAAAGAGAGGGGGAAGGGAGGGATGCCCAATTTATTTTGGTATTTCTTTTGAGGCCTCTGTAAGGTGGAGGGTACTAGGTCATGAAGAGGCTTGGTGAGATTCTCACTATTCAAGGCATGTCATGATAAGCCAGCCCCCTCCCCCTAATGACCTTCTCATTGCTGGACCTGCCCCAGGCATGTGCTTCCAGACCCTCTTGCTCAGAGAGCCTTTACCCTTAGCCACAAAGGGCGGAGAATTTTGGCTGGTACTTCATGCCTATCAGCTTTCCAGGCAGGAGTGAGCTGGCTACCAGTTGGTGCCACCTACCATGATTTATTGATGCTTCTCCTATATAGGGCAATGGGTTTGTGTGTGTGTGACATGAGGAATGTGACCAGAGGGGACAGGATTAATTTGGTCTGATCTGGGGGCAGGTCAGAGAGAGCAGAAATACAGGAGGTGTCCTTATATTTCTGGGAAGTCCCAGGACTGGATAAATATGTGCAATTTTACATGAATTCCTCCCCAGATGGAAATTCGTTGAGGATGGGGGAAAAGCCGTAAATCAAAGTGGCTCCCTATTCCTTTCCTTCCCATCTATTGTCAGAAAATGTTGTGGGGGTCCCCTGATTAGTCCATCCATTCATTCATTCAACTGTTGCTTATTATGCACATGATATGTGTAGGGTGGATACAGATATTAATATCCATCGTTTGTCTATAGAGCATTTACTTTAGAAAGTATGGCACACAGATCTTTTGAAGTTTACAACCACCCCGTGAGGTAGGCAATAGAGTTAGTTTTATCTCGTTTTACGGATGAGTATAAGGCTAGGTGAAATGAAATGACCTGCTGTAAGATCTTACAGTTAGGGGCAGAACCATGATGAAAACTACCCCAGAGAGATCAGACCATTGTACAGGTGGTGTCACGGAAAGAGAGATGGCTTTGAAGTCAGAGTAACTGGATTCCAATCCCAGCTCTGCCACTAGCTACCTGTGTTACCTTGGGCAAATTACTTAACCTCATGTTACTCATCTGAATGACCTCTAAGATCCTTTTTAGCTTTAAATTTCTGATCCTGTGAGGGATGGCCATTCCTTCTCAGATGGAGTCAGGGAAGACTTACATATGAATCACCTCTAAGCTGTACTTCCAAAGACACAGCCAGCCTTTTGCAGCCCAGTGTACCTCCAAGGAGGTGGACCAATATTGGGCATAGGACGGCCAATTTTATTATATGGCATGTAAAGCCCCTACTGCCCAAAGTTAGCCCTAGAGATGTGGGTAGGAGACCACTGTCCCCTTTCCTCCCTTGAGAACTGACTGGGTTGCTGTGATCATGCCATACCGGGAAGAGAGTGCCACTCAGGATAAGCTGACACTTGTTAGTTCTAGCTCCAAAGCCTGTTACTAATAGCATTTAGGAACGGGCAGCATGATGCTTTTTTTAACTATGATGCAAGCCTCTCAACTGTCTTTCCATGTCAGAATGCCCCAATCAGCTGAACATACCATACAGCTTAATGCAGATGTATTATTTGATCCAAAGACCTCCACCATGGTTTGGAGCTGAATTTTTTTTCCCCAGAAGGAGACTGTTTCTGTTTACTTCTCAGTCATCTGTGTTTATGAATATGTGGCTTGGGGGATGATAAAAGGATAATGACATCCCTAAGGGATAAACCTCATTTTCATGTTTTACTAGCCTCAATGATGAAAAATAATAATAAAAGCCTTTCTCATTTATAAGCTTCCCAATGCCTCTTTGATAATCATTTTATCTGAACATGAAGCAACATTATTTGATAAGAGTCTTGGAGTGTTAAACCTGAAGTCTAGAGAGCTAGATTTGAATTCAGATTCCAAAATTTCCTAGCTGTGTAGATAAATCCCATCTCCCTGAGCTGGTTTTCTGGTTTCTAAAAAATGGAAGCTCATTAATATTGACAAGTATAATTATCTACATCTTACAGATAAGAAATCTGAAGCCTAGTGATTTTCTCAGAATCACACAACTAAGACATGATGGAGCTGGGATCTATACCCAGTCTCCTGACATTTAGTTCAATGTGCTTTAAACCTCTCCATCAATTTATTAAGCACCTGCTATGTGTCAGGCACTATGCTAGGTATAGGAGATAACTGCTCCAGAAGTGAGGTATTGAGGAGGTGCTAATCAGGTCAACTGATATGAATATGGGGATGAATGAGATTGAAGGATGACTTCTGGATTTGTGAACCTTGGTGACTGGAAGTGTGGTGGTGTCCTTGAAAGAAATAGGGAAGTTAGGAGGAGGGATGTGTTTAGGAAAAAGAATTCTGTTTTGGACATACTGAGCTTGAGAGGTCTATGGAAACAAATGAGACCATCCAGAGAGGATGTTCAGAGAGAAGAAAAGAGAGCACAAGATGGAGCCCTGGGGTGCACCTACCCTACACTATAGCAGGACAGAACATGGGTCATGTCCTTTGAAAGAGACCAAAAAGGATCATTCTGATAGATTGGAAGAGATTCAGGACAAAGCAGTGTCATTGAAACTCAGGGAAGAGAGAATATGTAAAAAGTAGCAAGTTCAAGAAAGTGAAGACTAAAAAAAGGCCAGTGATTTAGCAATAAAGAGATGATTGGTAAATTTGGAGAGGATAGTTTCAGTTGAGTGGTGAGGATGGGAATCCAGAATGCAAGGGATTGGGAAAGTGGGGGCAGCTTTTTTTTTTCTAGTAGTTTGACACTGAAATGGAGGAGAGATATATAGGATGATAGCATGAGGGGATACTAACATTAAAAAAAAGATTTTATGTTTTAAAGAATATGGAGGATGTGGGTTATGTTTGAAGGTATCAGGGAAGGAGTCAGTAAATAAGGAGATGAAAATTGGGGACAGAGTGATGACTGAAGAGGCAAACTCCTGGAAGAGACAGAAGGGGATTAGGGCAATGGCACAAGTAGACAGTTAGCATTAGCAAGGGCTGCCTCATCCTCTGAAACTGAATCAAAGGATGAGAGGATAGGGGTGGAGTATGATGCCGGGGTGATTTGAAATGTGGAACTGAAGAGGAAAGGGAGTTCTTGAAGGATGGATTTCATTTTTTCAGTGAAGTATAAGGGATAGTCCTCTACTAAGAAGGAAGGAGAGTGGTGTAGGTGGTTTTGAAGAGAAGACTTGGATTAGCCATTCACAGCGTTACAGGATAGAAGGTCAGTCAAGCAAACGTGACAAGATTGCCTTGCTCCAGTGAGGGTCCAGTCGACACTGTGCAGAAGCTAACTGTATCCTTAACATCATAAAGGGCTGAATGCACCATGGTACGCGAAGCATTCAAACAAAAATGAATACACCTTTACTAAGCATCAATCAAGCAATGTTTATTAAGTACCTACTATGTGCTAGGCACTGGGCTAAGCATCAGCTGTGCACAGGGCCTATGCTGGATGCTGGGCACTGGACATAAGAGATCAGAAAAATAGATCCAACACTGGTACTAGGAGTATGTGATCTGATGGAGTACTTGGGGAGGGAGAAGAAAGGTGTCAAAAATTGAACCAAAACTCCATCTGTAGAGGACTGGCAGGACATTTAGGAGCATGTCCTCATTTGAGGAGGCTCGGGTTTCCTCTCATGGTGTTATATGTTTAAAATTTACCAAGGGTTCGAGTGAGTTCCCCAGGGTCATACAGCCAGTGAGCTAAAATTGAAACCCAGTTCTGACTCTAAAATCAGCATTTTTTTTCCATTCTAGTACACTGTTGGAGTTAGGAGGGACCTTAGAGATAATCTAGTCTGACCCTTTATTTTTCAGTTGAGAAACCAAAAGCTCCTGAAGAAGCGACTTTTGTAATGTCACACAGTTGCAGAGCTCGGACCAGAACTGGATTCTCCTAAGTTCCAACCCGGTGGGTCTTAACCTGTGCCTTAAACAATTCCCCTCTCCCCTTTCCGCTACTCCCACTTAGGTATGACCTTCCAGGTTCAAATCCTATGGTCCTATGGTACTGTCTCTAGCTGTCCTTGGAGAAAGACACGGGCTGTGTCAAGAGCTGGGGGCACATGGAGGGAGGCCAAAACCAAACACTGCTGTATATTTGGAAGGAAGGCTAAGCATTCTAAATCAGGCTGAGTAGGGAAGGAATTGGATAACCCAACAGGTGCAGCATGTCCAATGAATGTCCCATCTCCTGTATCACACACTCATTTCCAGAGGGGTCTGCATTCTTCTCTTGTCCAGCTCAAGCCTGGGGTGAGGGTGAGGAGTCTGATTTAGGTTGGAGATCACTTAGCTGTTTGAGCAGGAGTCAGTGATTCATTTGGGGCTTCTTCATGTGAGAGCTTTAAGTTTTCAAGTGTCATGGACCCCTTGAACAGACTGGTCAACCCTTGTCAGAATAACATTTTTCAGTTTATAAAATAAAACCCACAGGATTAGAAAGGAAGCCAAGATTAAAGTATAGTCACCAAAATATTTTTTTAAAAAATTCACAGGATCCCAGGTTAACAATCCCTGCTCTAGTGCTTTGAGGACCCTAATGAGGTGGGAGCTGCAACTTGCCCCAGAAGGTCCTTAATATTGCACATAGTCCAAACAAAGGGGGCTGAAGGTTCATGTGAGCCCAGGGCTGCACACGGCTGTACCATGAATTAATTGCACTCAGATGAATGGATCTGAATAAATGAGCTCCCACAGACTGAAGCTTAAAGTAGCAGCTTAGAAGGAGAAAGGGGGAGGGTAGATGAATGTTAGTGTGACTAAGGGAAAGGCAATTTGTGTGTTCCTCAGGAAGTCTTCAGGGAAATGTGTAGACACAGTGGGAAAAAATCCAACCATAGCCCTTGGACTCAAGAGTTCTTCTACGGAGATCTGTGGCCCTGGCTCTGAGGAGCCCCCACACTGAATGGGATAAGGAGGAGACCAGGCACAGCCCTCTTTCTCTTTAATTTTTTTAAATTTAATTTTTTCAATTAACAAAAATCCACATCTCCTTACCTTTCACCACCTCCATTCAAAAAGAAATAAAAATGAAACCCTTGTAACAAATATATATAGTCAAGAAAAACAAATTTTTGAATTGGTCGTGTCCAAAAAAAGATATGTCTCAATTTTCACCCTGAATCCATCATCTCTCTGTCAGGAGGTGGGTAGCATGTTCCTTTATGAGTCCTCTGGAACCATAGTAGATCATCCTGTGCTTCTTTTCTAAGCATCAGAACAGAGGAATTCCAAAGCCCTAGCCCATATACCCAGCTCCAACAGTAACCCTGGAAGCCAAAGCTGAACTAGAAGTGTTCATGATTGGTCCCATTCAATGAAGCTCAACTCCATGGAGAGGAAGGGGGGTATCCTAAGGGTTCAGTGGTTATATTTACCATATCAAAGATTATGATGCCACAAAAGGTATTAATTTTTTGTTTCTAATAATTTTTATTATGACCCTAACTGGACAAAACCAAACATACAAAATAACGATTATGCATTACACATAAAACAACTCTAGCCCACAGTTTGGTAAAGGAAAATATATAAACTAATAAAATGATAGCAATAAGATCATATTTGCTTCAATGTTTCTTTCTAATGATTTTTAAAATGATTTTTACTGATGACTTTTACTTTTATACCACAGGCCACACGGGGGGGGGGGGGGCTAGCAAGCCAATGGCAGGTGAAGGAGGCAAGAGAACTTCAGGCCTCCTGATAGGAACAAGCAAATTTCCAACCTATAAGGACTCACCCTCTCAAGTCCTCCAGTGGATTAAGAATTCATAACTGGACACATGAAGGTAAGTATCTGCCATGCTGGGGAGTGTCCAGAGCACAGCAACCTGCATGCTAAAGGGCCCAAGGTCATTCGTTAGGAGTATCAATGGAAAGAACTGGGAATGTTTAGATGGAGACAGAATGATTTAAGTGTATACTTAGAATATGATGTGATATATAGCTTTTGGGAGGAAACATATCTGTTGCTTAGAATAAAATATGTTTGTACTCCACAAGCAAATTCTGTGCTGCTGTCAGTCCAGGGCTTGGAAAGGATATATTTGAGGTTTTTCTGGGTAAGTCTCTTGGAAATAGTCCTATATGTGTTGTTTCTGCTTTTTCCATGTTGCCCTATATGAAAGCTGTGCTCAGAACTCATTGATTCGAGACAATGAGAGCACCGTTAGGAGGGAACTTGTAGTCACCATGGTCCCAGAGAGATTTTTGAAATGGTTTTTAATTAATTCTGTAAAATTGCTAGGCAAAGCTACCTTTGTCACAGCTGCCTGCCGAATTTCCAAACCAGGATTATCCTGTAATGTGGAGTGGTTCCCAGTCTGGGCATAAAGAGGAAAAGTATATCAAGGATTTGGTGATGGTTGTGAACGGCAGTGAAGGTTGGATTTTCTGTGCTAACTCCAGTGAATGTGGATAATTTTAAAAATCCCTTCTATTTTGGTTTTGAATGCATTTTATTGTACTCATTAATAACATGACTGTGAGGAAATGACCTATAGATTATTCTCTACAGGAGGCCATATCCTTATCATCCCACAGTTTACTTAGAGGTGTAGAGAAATTAAGATGCCAGAAATCATAGGCAGAATTGTAAGGGACTCTAGAGATAATTTAATTCTCTCTAAAATTTTAAGGATGAAGCAACTAAAACTCATACAAAGAAAGTTACTTGACTAAAGTAAGCCTGAACTACAATCCAGGTTTCTGGAACCCAGTTCAAAACATCACTCTCTTGTGCTATGTCAATTGTTAATTGGTTAA